GTCTACCTTTGCGGCCAGGAGCTGATGGGGCTGAGGCAGTTTGATTAATTGGGACGGGATCAGGTACGGGCTCTACTGGGACTAGTACAGGGGTTGAAACAGGGGTAATTGGACAGTCGCTTGGAGAAGGCGATAAAGACAACATTGGAGATACCTCCAAGTTGCTAGGAAGGGACAAGAAAGTAGTAGGTGTCTGAACAGACGTAGAGGGCAATTGCAAAAGTTGAGGCTCCAACCGGCGATTGGTTGGGGACTCAAATTTATATTTGCCAAGCAGCTCGAAACTCGAGTCAAAATTACTCGAGAGCTGCTTAGCCACATTATTTAATTTTAAGAATTGACTTCTCACAGAATTATACATTCTAGAGAAATCAATTTGCTTGACGATGCATTCTGGGCACGACCAACGCAAGCCACCACAGCCCTTCTTGGCAATAGCAGCGATCTTGTCGCAATCACGCCCAGTGAGACCTGCACATTTAGCATGCATCATATTCTCACACAGCCAGCAATTAACAAATTGCGGCAGTGCAGAATCATCAGCCTGCTTGAACGTGCACGGTTTCTTACAGCACAACATAATTATTTAATGCGTATGCAAATTGCGAGAGCACAGAGCAAAACGAAAACGGTGCACAAGATAGAGCAAGTAAATACACAAACAAATTGTTTGGAGCAAAAAGCAATAGAAAAAGTTTGCGAGAGCGCGATGCACAAGCAGAAAGTATGCAGCGAACACACGCACAAACAAGTGTATGCACAGGGGAGCACCAAAGCAAAAGAATCAAAACAGGCAATAACAACAACACGGAACTGATGCCGCGTTTTATAAAATGTAATAATTAACAGACTTACGCTGCACAACAGATAACACTTTGCACAGTTGATTAAAGCTTCTTAAATAAAGCACCGAAAAATGCAAAATTTTGAAATAAAAAACAGGATAAAAGCGCAAAAATATATAAAAATCTTGGAGCACAAGTAAAACACGTCAATCACTCTCAACTGAGAACTCTCTCTCGTGACTGAGAACTCTCTCTCGTGAGAGAGTGTATTAAGATAAATATTTGATTAAGAACGCATTGAGCAGTTGGCGCAAATGAGTTTCATGTGGCGGCCACAAATGTAACCAACTATGTAGATGACTATTGGCCACGGTCATAAGGAACTGTGTTGCCTTTTGGCTGCAAAAATATGCACGGATATTGAGAACGTTGCCGCTGCTGCTGGTCCACGGGGCGTATGCGAAATACGATGCTTGAGTGAATGGCGGCTAATGAATGGACACAGTGCCAAAACGTGAGCAGACGAGTGCTATGTGCGTGTCTGCTTGGCTGTGTGTGTGCGTGTGTGTGTGTGTGTGTGCATTTTCACATGTTTTCAATTCCATTTTGCATGCATAACAACAGCAACAGAAAAAACCAGCTCTAGCTGTGTGTAGGACACCTCTTTTAAGGCAACAGTTTTTTCCATTTCCCTACTTGTATTTTTTTGTCGTTTGCCATTTTTTTGTTTTCGTTTTTTTCCCATTTGTCTATTGTCAGACTGTTCAAACGCAAACGAAGATTGCGATTCAATTTCAATGTTTGTTTTTGACTTGTATTTTATGTGTGTGTGCGAGTGTGTGTGTGTATGTGTGAGACTCTGCGAACACGTTGGCTTAGCAGTCAGTCGCCAGAAAGGTAAAAAAAACAGATTCATAAATAGAAGCATTGCTTGACAGAAAACACGCTTAAAGTGTTAAGATTAAAATATCAAAAAATAAAAAGGTTTATGAAATGGAAAACAAATGCAAATATGCAAGTTTTGAGGGTCTTCCATTAATTTCCTCAGGCTAACTGAACTTTTGGCCAATAGTTCAGTAAATTTTAACTGGCACTGGAATGAAATCTTCCTGTTTATTTTAATATAAAATAATTGTCTGCGTTTTTAGAGCATCTTTTTCGCTGATCAACGTTTTTTTTTTATTTTATTAAAAGCAAGAGGTAAATCACAGCAATCAGCTACTCTTTACAATAATATAAATCAGAGGTTCTCAAAAACTTGTTCTAACTTTACCACATCTTAAAACTGACAATCGCATTTCTTTACTATCTTTTGTTTGATTCTGCCTTTTAGAATATAGGAAAATATATGCTTGGTTATACTTTGTTAACTTAATATTGGAAGTGTAACACAACCTCTAGGATGCAAGGCAGCAGTTGTCCGATTGTCGGGATCAGTGGGGCAATAAATGTACTACGCACTGGTTCTTAACTTCTTAGAATCATTTACAAGAACAATCCACAGCTGATTTTAAAGCATCAGCTCTCGCTTAAGTTATCTTTAAGAAAACCATTTGATTAAATTAAAGCATATTGTTGCACACAATAGGTGTGTGTGCGTGTGTGTGTGTGTTTGTGTGTAACACAGTGGTCAAATTCAGAAAAAATGTTTAATATGCAAATGGAATGACAGAAGCCAAGGGGCAGCTGAAGCAACGCACAGAGCGAGGAGCACACCAAATCCAAAAGAATTAATTAATATTCAAGTGCCTGCTTTCTCCTTGCTCTTCCCCACTCTCTCTCTCTCTTTCTCTCTCTCGCTATCGCGCCCTTTAAGTGCAGTCCCCTTTTGTTATTTAATTTGAGGCTGGCAACTGGCAGAGTGATAGAGGGAGCATGAGAGAGTTTCCCGGGGGAAACTTATCAGTGTCAACGTTGTGCCAATAAAAACTATACTAGCATGCAAATATTTCCACAATCAAACAAATAGCTGCTAACAGCGGCAGCAGCAGCAGCAGCAGCAGCAGCAGAAGCAGAAGCAGCAGCAGCACAATACAAACAAGCACCAGATGTTGGCCAACAAATGCTGTGGAATCCCGCAGGACGAGAAGCAACAACCACAACAACAACAACAACAGCAAATGGGACATGCATAAGGCATGCAAAAATAATGGTAAAGAGCAAAACGACAACCAACAAAGGAAAAGGCACAGCGAGAACGTGAAGTGCTCCAAACTGAAGCAGCTGCCTCACGTTTTCCTGTTACGCCACAGGACAACGGCATAAGAGGACACACAACAAGCAGAAGGACGATCTGCGCTTGTCTTTTTTTTCTTGATACTCTGTGTACAAAGTGTAAGAGTGCATATTGTCTTGTGCGTCTGCTCATGAATTCGCTTTTGTAAAACTCGTAAATATATATGTTATATCTGGGCAAGCGTTATGTTAATTGATCAGCCCGCGCAATTTTAAAGCTGCTGTCAGCAAATTTACCAGGTAGACGTCTGATAATCTTTACCAAAGAGATAAGGCCTTAACCGCCTACAAAAATTACGAAAACCCGATATTTTAGAAAGTCACAGTTTGAAAGTCACTCCGTGAAAGTCACAGCTTAAAAGGTCACCATTTATAAGGAACAAGTCAATGTCGCATTTAAAAATCACATTCGCAATAAATCAAAGCAACAGTTTGGAATCACAGTGTGAAAGTCACAGCATGATAGACACATTTCGAAAGTTACACTATAAAGTGAATTGTAAAGTGACATTTGAAATCACAGTTTTAAAATCATAATTTAAGAATGAAATGTTGATACTTCCTGTTTAAGAGTAACAGTTTTAAAGCAACCGCTCGAAAGTAAGAGTTTAAAAGTTATAGCTTAAGTGGCACAGTTTTAAATTCACAGTTGAAAAATAAGTTTAAAAATAGCAGCTACTTAGTGCTAGTTTTTGAAGCTACAGTTTGAAAGGCACATTTTGAAAATTCAGCTTTAAAATCACAACATGAAGCCAGTTATGCATTTAGCTTGTAGGAATAATCATTCGTAGATTATTCAAACCAATAATAAGACACCTTTCGGTTATTTTTAGTTGTTATCAGCCGGTGAACAGAGTATGGGGCAGTCGGGTTAAATGAACTTCGCTTTTGTACTGCTAACGTTTTCGCCATTCGCTGTTCCGATTCGTTCACTTTCCGCTTTCACTTGAGCATTGGCTTTGATTTGCCCCAGCCTCGGCTTCAGCTTCAGCTGCAGACACGGCTAAAAAGCACAACAACAAATTTGCATAGCTCAGTGCAATTTTGCATTCTTTGTTTGTATCAACTACAACAACAACAGCAACAACAGCAGAAACAGTATTAAGCGCAATTCCCCCGTCTTCCGTCTGCCTGGCCTTTATTTCACTTCCTCTTCTTTTTTTCGCTCAACACGCGCACAAGTTGCCAACTTTCATACGCCATGTGGGACGCACTTTTCCTCTAAGTAAACTCAGCCGAGAGAAACGCAACTGAAAAAGAAAGTTTCTCTTTGGTAACCCCCAACTGACCCTGGTATTCTCTGGCAGCTACTTGAATGTTGCAGCTGCTTTCCATTTTTATTTGACTACTTTTATTTGCCACACGACGCAGCTTATGCAGCATTTTTTTAACATTTATTAACAGTTAATACTTCATAAATACGCTAAATGTGCATATTATGCATTTTGTTGTTTTTGTCTAAATATTTAATTTGTTTTTGGGTGCTTTCTCCACAATTAGCTTTCAGCTAGGTTGTGTGTATTTATATATATATATATATATATATTAATTTAATTTCATTTAATTTCGCCCTCAACCGATTTTCCTGTTTTTGTCGGCTTGCGTTTGCCATTGGGAAATTTTAAATATACAATCGAAGCATGCACGAAATTCAAAAAGATTCAAATTTTCATTGCACAAAAAACCTGTTCCAATCAATTTACTTGTGTGCAGGAAAAACTTTAGCTTACAGAACCCCAAAAGGAAAAGAAATATGTCCATATATTTTTACAATTAAAATGATTTAATTTTTTTTTATTAGTGAAGGCTACAATTTTAAAATTCAACACTTTTTTGGCAAATACAATACGGTGGTTATTTTGCTTATTAAATATAAAATATATCTATTGATGGCTCTGGCGACCTTTCCATATTTCAATATTTATTTGTTGGCTGGCTCGAGGTCCGTGTTTGTTAAAACAAACAATGAAAACAATTTTATTTTAATTTTCTTCCGATATATTTCGGTTGCACATCGGCAAACCGTCTTCAGGGCACTAACACCAAGATACAAAAAACAATTAACAATTATAATACAATAAATTAAACATTATTTCGAACATTTTACATACATTATTTTACACGTCTGCGCTTTTTGACGTGGAGATTGTTACTGAGGTTGTTTGGCTGTTTAAGAGGTGTCTGTACAAGTGAGCGCAATTTTCTGTGTCTGTCTTGTAGTTTAGTCGTTTGTTGGTTGGTGTGTTAATTATGTGTAGCGTTTCCAATGTGTGTCGCTTGTTATAGTGTTGTTCTTGTTGTAAGATTGTTGTTTCATCAAAATTTTTTTTTTTAGACGACTTATGCGCGTATAGAACACTGAGACTGGATCCGACATCAAGACTACAGACAAAGAATAACACCTTCGTAGCACAATTATTCAAGATGGGTCTTATTTCAAAGGACGAAAGAAATAAGATGACTACAACAACAGCGGTACCTCCGAGGATATATGGACTACCAAAAATACACAAGGAAGGAACACCACTGAGACCAATATGTTCTTCCATCGGATCTCCATCTTACGGGCTGTGCAAATATATAATACAAATATTAAAAAATCTGACAATGGACTCTAGGTACAACATCAAGAACGCGGTAGATTTTAAAGACAGAGTCAACAACTACCAGATTAGAGAAGAGGAAACATTAGTATCTTTTGACGTAGTATCCTTATTTCCCAGCATACCAATAGAATTAGCACTTGACACAATAAGACAAAAATGGACCAAATTAGAAGAGCACACGAATATACCGAAACAACTATTTATGGACATAGTTAGATTTTGCATACAGGAAAACAGATATTTCAAATACGAAGACAAAATATACACACAACTTAAGGGAATGCCAATGGGATCACCGGCTTCCCCAGTAATCGCAGATATATTAATGGAGGAACTGTTGGACAAGATTACAGATAAATTAAAAATAAAACCAAGACTCTTGACCAAATATGTAGATGACCTTTTTGCCATAACGAACAAAATAGACGTGGAAAATATTCTAAAAGAATTGAATTCCTTCCACAAACAGATAAAATTTACAATGGAATTAGAAAAGGACGGGAAATTACCATTTTTAGACTCTATTGTAAGCAGAATGGACAACACACTCAAAATAAAGTGCTATAGGAAACCCATAGCCTCCGGACGAATACTCAACTTCAATTCAAACCACCCAAAGAGTATGATAATCAATACAGCACTAGGCTGTATGAATAGAATGATGAAAATATCGGACACAATATACCACAAAGAAATTGAACATGAAATCAAAAAACTCTTGACCAAAAATGACTTCCCCCCAAATATAATCAAAACATTATTAAAAAGACGACAAATCGAAAGAAAAAAGCCAACAGAACCTGCTAAAATATACAAATTACTAATATATGTACCACGACTATCAGAACGCCTCACAAACTCAGACTGTTATAACAAACAAGATATAAAAGTAGCACACAAACCGACGAATACATTACAAAAATTCTTCAACAAGATAAAGTCGAAAATCCCGATGATCGACAAAAGCAACGTCGTTTACCAAATACCATGTGGCGGGGAAAACAACAACAAGTGCAATAGTGTCTACATAGGTACAACAAAATCGAAGCTAAAAACAAGGATTAGTCAACATAAATCGGACTTCAAACGAAGACATCAAAATAATATACAGAAAACAGCACTTATGACCCATTGTATAAAAAGCAACCACACACCAAATTTTGATGAAACAACAATCTTACAACAAGAACAACACTATAACAAGCGACACACATTGGAAATGCTACACATAATTAACACACCAACCAACAAACGACTAAACTACAAGACAGACACAGAAAATTGCGCTCACTTGTACAGACACCCCTTAAACAGCCAAACAACCTCAGTAACAATCTCCACGTCAAAAAGCGCAGACGTGTAAAATAATGTATGTAAAATGTTCGAAATAATGTTTAATTTATTGTATTATAATTGTTAATTGTTTTTTGTATCTTGGTGTTAGTGCCCTGAAGACGGTTTGCCGATGTGCAACCGAAATATATCGGAAGAAAATTAAAATAAAATTGTTTTCATTGTTTGTTTTAACAAACACGGACCTCGAGCCAGCCAACAAATAAATATAAAATATATCAGTAACACGTACTTGTAAGTGTAATATACTTGATATTTTATAAGCAAAATATTCAGCGTATTGTATATCCCCTAGGAATAGTATGTAGTATAGATAATAGTAACAAAAATGAGGAATTTATACTTTTGCAAAGTTGTTCTTATCATAAATTTATCATTTGTTAAATGTATTTTTTAAATTATTATTATTTAGTTATTTAGTAATGTTCGACAAAACGAGTGTAATAATAGAAATATAAGTGAATATATTATTATTTAGTATATTATAATTTCTATATTCTAACTTCTTACAATGTGAAATTTTTTTTATATTTATTCAAAGTTACTATTCACAAAATATTTTTAATTTTTTTCATGTATTTTTTTATTTAAATGTATTTCTATTTTAAATTTAACAATTTGCCTAAATTATATTTTGAAATATGTTTCTTATATATTATAAATAAAATGTTATTTTTTTTTGTTGTATATTTTTATTTATTTAAATATAAAGCATTTACTTTTGTTTTATAATTGTTTGTTACCTTAATTTTTTATTAGAAATTACTTAAAATGTATTTATTTTTATAGAGTTAAATTTACTTATATATAGTATATATTTTGGTTTTGCTTACATATAAGTTCCCCTCATACATTTTTGGCGACATGAGGGGTATAAATTATATAGAAAATCTAAAATACAAACCTGGTTGTAAGGATCATCCATAATCGCCGCTCCATTTGAAATATGTCTAAGAGAATTGAGTAAGTCCTTTATTTCCGAGTCACAAACCTGGCAGCTGTAACCCAGGTAGCTGCTGCTTCAATTCAGATATTCCCATCTATAAAATAATTTGAATATTTACATTCTTTCATTTCATACTTTTAATGCTCTTTCATCACAGCTATGTAAATTGCGTGGCATATTATTCAATTGTCGTTAATCAAATAATTTCATCCTCAGCCCAGACTCATAAAAATTCCAACTGCATTTTATTTGACCCAGTCAAACGGGAAGCACTTGCAAATTTTATGCAATTTAAGCCCTCCTTCAACTTCTTCCACCCTTCGTTCTTAAATAACTTCATTTCACTTAACCTAGTCAAAAATGCCGCTTGACGCGGCTCGCAACTTAAAAGCCATAAAAGCCGCAACAAAGGCAAGCATGCACACGCCCCTTCCCTTCCCCCTGGCCGGCAACACAAACTTGCCACGCCCACCGCTCCACCCACCCCGTACCGCCTCTAACAAGCAAGCACCTACGCAGTTTATGCAAACTTACGCATTTGGCATGCCTCAAGTGGAGGGGTGGGAGGGGTATGGCGAAAGTTGGGCTTGATAAACTATAAGCCACAAATTTGCATGAGGCAGCCGCCCACCGACTACAAATTGCCATTAAATGCAGCAGGCGGTCGCACCATGAGTGGGCGTGGCGCGAATGCCAACCGGCTGTAAGCGAATCTATGTACCGTTCTGTTTCTGTACTCTACTATAATACTTAGCTCGGTGTACCTGAGCTAACCCAACAATAACAGACACCAGTTGCTGGGCGCCCACCTTGCCACAGTCTGGGGCATCACTTTGTTGCAACAATTTGCGCGACGCCCGAGGCGTTCGCCCAGGATGTGAGCAACAGGAGCGACAGGATGAGCAGCAGCCGCTTCATTGCATTTAATTCATTTTTATTGCAAAAGCTTACAGACAGATAGAACCAACGGATAGGATGGGACACGATAGGGCAGAGCTGGGCAGACAGGCTGGGCATGGCAGGACAGGAAGCCACTTGCCGCCGTGGCCTGCTCTTTAAAATTATATTGGCGAAATTTTATGCAGTTGCAGCCACTGCTGCTGCTGCTGCTAAGCCAAGACCAAGCTGGAGCCAATGCTTCCCGCAGCTACCCACCCGCGCCTTCCACTCCACTCCCGTTGCGTACGAAAGTTTTTACAAAGTAGATGCGGCGGCAGCTGCTGCAAGTTTGAACAGAAAAGGACTCCCAGACACAAAGCAGAGACCAAGCGCAGGACCAGGCAGGACGACGAAGCAGGCATTTTGATGAAGCTGCTCCATATTGGTCGGTGGTAGCAACAGCGCCCTGGCTGGCAACATAATTTAAATATCATGTAAATTAGACGGAAGTCTAAAATGAGTGCATAATGTCTGCTAAAACTGTTCTAAGTGATTGTAATTTAGGATAAGTTGCGAGCAACTCGGCGCCGCCTTCCACAAAAACTCGAGCGCAATTTTCATCTGAACTTCCTTCACAAACTTAAGCACAATTTCAACACCTAACTGTGTTCTCTACGTGGACAGGCGAACTATTAGCGAGTTTAATCAAGCAAATGAGTTAACACCTTTCTTGTGATAAGCACTACTAATTAATTAATACAAATAGCAATTGGTAAATGTAAATAGACATAATTCAGGCTTGTTGCCGAATAATGCATTATTTAAAACATTTAAATTCAGGCAGTTTTTTTTTGTATGGATAGATTTTCATAACAAAAGCCCATTTGTGCGAATTTGATTAAATTAAGAGCTTAACATTTAGAGGATATTCGATAGTACTGCGAGTCTAAGCAATAACATAATGTAAACATAAAATGCCATTTCGCACACAGCACAGCAGAACACAATGTTAAAGTGGATTCTTCTCTCAGCCCGAATAACAGAATGGCGCTCAAATTCCACATTAACATTAACCACGTTAACGCACTCAGTTAAGCTCACGTGCTCACATGCTGCTGTTGAGCGCAACAGTTTCCCACTCGCACACACACATACTTATTCAAATTGAAGATAAGATCCATCAACAGCTGCCGGCTGTGTGCGTCCGATATTTGGAGATGGAACTTTACTTGAACCATGTTGACATAATTAAAGGTGTTTTTTATTTGAATAAATACAAAACAATAAATAATTTAAATATATTTATACCTCAAAATATTTATACGAATATAACTATTCATTAAGTTAAATATGACAGTAGTAAAAGCTGATCCTCATTTAATATGGCTCCTCCATATTGGCCTTAATTTAATATTTTAATAATTAATATAATGTTTAAATACGTTTTACTTCGACTAATAATGTGTGCT